CCCGGGCAGTGAGTTCATGTCCTGGGCAGTGAGTTCATGTCCCAGGCAGTGAGTTCATGTCCCCCGGGCAGTGAGTTCATGTGTGGGGCAGTGAGTTCATGTGTGGGGCAGTGAGTGAGCTCATGTCCTGGGCAGTAAGTTCATGTCTGGGGCAGTGAGTTCATATGTGGGGCAGGAACAACTCTGCAAACGAAGGGGGGGTGAACACCCCAAAGACTGTCCTCCACATCACAGAATGGTGCTTGTGGAAAGTGGGGAGCTGAGGCACGTTCTGCTGTGTGTTTTCTCAACAACAGCACCAAAACCGAGTCTCAATGTCAAACCAGGAAAGTTTAATTGTGACTTGAACCGGGAGTTGGGACAGCACACTCCAGGAGAAGCTGTGTGGCTCTGGAACTGAAAACTGTGGCCCCGGTGACAGCGTCTCCAGACAGAACCAATCACAGACCAATACTTGACCTGGATCCAGCACTGCTGGGCTCGAAGGAGCATCTGCACTGGAGTCTCAGAGCCGCCTCGAGCTAGGCGGATTCGTAGATGAGACCCAGGAAGCTCAGAGAGGTTAAGCAACTACTCAAGGTCACACAGCTTAGGAGTCCCAAACTGGGTCTTTACCTCCACCTTGCTAACTGTAACTTCAATGTTCACACCCCTGCCTTGTATTACGGTGGGTGGAGAACAAAACACAGGGAAGAAATGAAATCGGTCAGTGCCTTCTTCACCTTTTCACGATGAAGTTGGCAGAGTTGGACGTAGGACAGGAACTGGAGCGGTGCCAGGCCTGGAAGAGTGTGATCTTCAACACCCCTCCCCTTCACACAGCCACACCTGCACACCCCACAGCAGGACACCTGAAACTGACTGTCCACCCTGAGAACTGTGGCCCCAAGGACCCGATGTCCCTCCAGTTCCAGCTGATCACAGCCACCAGTGTCACCAGAACTTCCTGGTATGGGACAGTTGATGTAGAGTGAACTGTCTGGGTGAGGTAGCAGACGGATTGCAAAGCCCCAAGGGCAGCATCCCATCGCTGAGAACTTGGGGGGTCCGGGGAGTGGCCAATAGAGAGACAGTCACAGAGCCCGTTGAATGGTGTCTGCCAGACAGACCCTATGCATTCCCCTGGGGTTGA